AAAATCATTTATTTTCAGCAATATATATTCAATTTTAGGCTATAAACAAAACAAGTTGAACCAAGTTAAAATCCATATTGTAAAATAATATGTAAAACCATATTGTTAAATTTAAAGATATGATAACTAAGAAGCCAGTTTTGTTTGACATTTGACCTTAGAGAATACTGCTAAATCAGAACCCCAAAACAATAAACTTTTGTTTCTAATTTATGATTTTTATTTCCCTTAGTGTCCACCATTTGCAGCTTTATTTTCTTACCATAAATAATAATATATTTAATTTTATTAACAAATATAAAATTTATATAAATATTCGTCAGTTCCAAAAGGAAAAGAAATCATTATGCCATATATTATATTAATTATAACTTACCATGAAAATGTCAAAAGTCACTTTAAACCTAATGGAAAAGACATTTGACCTGCTATAACCTCACTTACAAGGAGACAACAACAGCCAAGTGAGGCTACATATTTTTAATACAATTTCTCTTTTTTCTTTTTTCTCTTTTCTATTCTATATTTTCTTTTACTTTTATCGGTTTTTTGTTGTTTTCTTGTAATGACGGCGGGTAATAAATGCAATATAATAATAAATAAATATCACAACAAGAAATGAAATATAAGAAGAAAAACGACCATATGTCGCAAAATAAGACAAACGTCAGCATCCGTAGAATTAACAATAATGATAATAAAAACAAAAACAACAACAACAACTACTGCTACAGTGATAGTCTAAGAAACCACAAGTACAAAAATAACAAAAACAACAAAAACAACAAAATCAGTTAGTATGTTGTTTGCACATATTGTCGTTGTTTTGTCATGCCGGCACGTCACATTCCATTCATTTCGCAACAACGTAATTTTGCAGTGCTCTGAACTCCAGTAACGCCACGCAGCACGAAATTGATTGCACACTTCGCTAACGCCGCCAATAAATGCTACGAACGAGCAGTAGTTTTGCCTTATGGCTTGTGCTTCGTCTACACTTCGTGCCATGAGTTTTGTCGCCCCGAATGGAGAAATACACTAACACCGGAAATTGATGTTAGACGTAAACAAACCCATTTGCTAAGAATCAACGCCACGCCAACATAACAAATTGACAAAAACATAAATAATAAAGTCAACAAATTTATTATTACATACGGCGTAAAGGAGTAAGGGGAGGGCAGGGGTGAGATAAATTGATGGTACATTTTTTTTTTGTATAATTCGCAGCAGCTCACATTAATTCTCGAAATTTGTTCGGTTGTTGTTTACTCAGTTTGCGCCTCATTAAATGCTGAGCGAAATGCAAGCGAAATTTTGCTATTTGCAATTTCATTCGTAATTTAAATAATAATACCATAATTTCAATCGCTTGTTTACAAAAATAAAAATAATATTTTAATTAAAACAGCATTTGTATAAAAAAAAATAATGTATTTTAATCGCATATTTCCTAAAACCACTGATGATGAGTACTTGGCAATATTCGAAACAGCGTTGTATGGTCAGACAAATTAAATAAATTAAATTAATTTATGTCCTTGTCTTTTCTTTGCTATTCGAATCCGTCTAACTTTTAACAATAACTTCTTTGTCGTCATAAAAAGTGTAGCTTTCGGTAAAAATAATTGACATTATAATGTATTTTATTTAAGAGTAGTTGTTAGTTTGCTTTTTTAATTATTTTTAATTGATAAAAAGACTGTAGGAATAAAAAAATAAAATCTTATAGATTTTATAAAATATTTAATTTATCACGCTCTATAAATCTTTTATCATGCCTGTCCTGTTGTGTGGTGCAAAAGCTTGGACAATTACCAACAGTGATGAGCAGGCGTTACGAGCATTTGAGAGAAAAATTCTTCGGAAGATCTATAGTCTCTTACGTGTTGGTAACGAGTATCGTATTAGATGGTTGAATGGACTTTACTGTGATATTAGCATAGTTAAGCGCATAAGAATTCAGCAGCTTCGCTGGCTTAGTCATGTCGTGCGAATGGAAGAAAGTGCTCCGGTTAAAAAGGTGTTTGATTCAGTACCCGCAGGTGTTCCCGCAAGTCCGCAACTTCGTTGGAAGGACCAGGTGACCAACGATTTGGAGATGCACGGTACTACAAACTAGCGACAGCAAGCAACTAATGGGGCTGACTGGCGGAGGCTACTCAACACGGCCAAGAACGACTCACGTCTGTAATGGCCAACTAAGTAAATAACTAAGTATTTAGTTTATTATTTATTATGTAAAACTAAAATTATGAACCTATTCCTGTATAAATAAATGCCATCAACATGTTTTCAACACTACTTATAATAGTACTGCACCCTTTAAGAAATAGTCAAATAAACTTCAAAACGTCCGCGATAATTAATCGTGCTACGGTACAAGACACAAATGATTTGTTCACATTTAGGTGTTGGCAGGCTCGAACGAAAGCCACTTGTATTTTTCTAGCCAAATATAAAGCAATCACACTATCACGTTTGTGCTCCATCACATATTCCTTTTTTTCTACAACAAAAAATTCAAAATGCCTTCAAAACGCTTGTAAACAAGACAATGAACTGTCCAATGAATTAATTTTAAGCTTTCTGTCATTATTGGTTCAACAGCTAGATCGGTGTTGCAATTTGCGTCAGCCACCCTATATATAAATTACTATATAACATTAAAAACAAAAGTAAAAATTATATGCTTTTTACTATTCACATCAGCCCTTTTATCAATTAAATATAATGTATTTTAATTATAAATATTCAAAATAAATAAATAAAATAATACTTTTACCAAAAAGCAAAATGTCATCAGTCATTTAAACATTTTTAAAAATAATATAATATAATAATAATATATATAATATATATATTTTTATATATTATTTTTAATAGAAAGTTTACAACTTAAATCTATGTTAGTAAATTTTCACTTCACATTTTATTAATAATATTTTTTATTTTATGTAAAATATTTGGATTAAGTCTTAACACAAGATCAACATTCAATCAATTTTTAAATCAATTTTATTAGTATTTTAAAGGTCGCACACGCTTCAAATTCCATTAAGTGCAAAACCAGAAGATATAAAATCCTTTCTAGCTTCCTTTTAACAAAGCCAATAAAAAAGAAATAATAATAAACTGAAATTCATTTGCAAACTTGACGAATCCATGAAATTTGTCGAGTTTATGAGTTATAAAATTATTTACGAAACCATATGTTATTATTAGGATATAAGTCTTGTTACTTCTTCAATTATTTAAAGTTAAATATATAAATAAATTAGTTTAAACTTTGCCATTTTACAATATGGGTCGTTTAACAAACGCTGAATGTGTAAGCGTTTATTTAACTTGATCTCTAATGATTGAATTATTTGTGTTTCTTTTATTCTTTAGCTTTTTGTCACACTTAAAGAAAGGCAGATTTTAACGTGGATTAGCGGAAAGTAATACGGCTATTTTGCTCCATCCTACCATTAATGTGATAAACATGTGGAATCATATCCCAAAAATTGTGATTCTATAATGGAAACATTTCAAATTCTATTTTCTTTAGTAAAAAAGATCATTTTTTATTTGCCAGATCTGTCAACAAATAAAGTTGCCACATTTAAGACCAGCACTCTCCACATTATCGAAAGACTATTGCATTATTCTATGACGTGCTATTCGGTCTGCAGGTTTGATAGACTAGAAAATAGAAAAGTTTATATACATATATGAACGGATACGGGCTTCGTTTCAAAGTTTGCAAAACTGTTTTCTACAAATAATTGTGCTGATGTTTAAAATTACAATAATTAACAATAAATAAGTTAATTATCATAGGTGTGATTAATGTATTAGTTCTAATTAGTAATACCGAAAGAGTGTAACTGATAAAATCTTAAATTTGACTATATTTAAAGTCAAATATATTGTAGTCAAACTATATACTTGACTGTAATTACTAATACTTCCAGTCCAAAAGTTACATAAGAACAATTAAAGTCATGAATATTTTCACATACTAGTGTTGGTTGACGTTGGCGATATCTGAAACTGCTATGTGGTCATTACGCAGGTCCACCATTCAAATTTGTTGAGTTGAATTGCTGACACGGTCCAAGAATTTCAAATGGATAATTAAACCACTAAATGTTGCCAAATACCAGTGACGATGAATATTTGGCTAAAACCGCAACAGCTCTATGGACAGCACAAGAATTCAATTGATAAAATTTTAAATTTTGGATTTCAATTCAGAATTTAATCCAAATTAGCGAATTTTTACTCATTATTGCCCTTATTTCTATTCTAAATACATAAAAAAATTTTAATATGCTAAATAATTATAATAATAACTAGAAATAGTATTAAAAATAATTCATTTCCAGTGCAAAGTAATAAAATAATAATTATATTATTATTAATATTAATTATAATTATATAAATAATTATATGTAATTGTGTATAGATATTATAATTAAAATTATGGAAAATAATTAATTAAAGTAACAAAACTCCAGAGAAATGTGCGATCATAAAAGTCACGTACGGCTTTTGGTCAGTTTGTTAAGATGCGCTGACTCTGAGCTTCAAATTTAACAGGGTACGAGTTCTACCCCTGATATTTGCAGTCTGAAAAAAAAATACCACTAATGATGGGTATTTGGCAA